CTGCCCCAACACACATACACAATTATAACAATTTCTCACTTGGATAAAAACAAGGAAAAGGGCAAGTGACACCCACGTATCCAGCTTGAATAATCATTGATCTATGCCAAATTGTGTCTCATTCATACCTCAGTCTACTCTCCATCCCTAACACTATGGTTGATTATTTTTCTCCCCTAGTGTTCCTGGAGATTGAACCCAGGAACCTGTGCAACCTATCACTGAGCTACATCCCCAGTACAACACTGTATTATTGTTTTTTTTTTAAAACAGTAATAGGTATCACAGTATATTTTATCTTTATAATAGTTGTTCTTTCAGTCATGTATATCAAAATAAAATGAAATAAAGAACATTACAGAACTTATCAAAACAATATTGAATAGAGCAGTACCATTAATCATAATAAAGCAAAACAATAATAAAAAATATTTGCCTTCGAAGAGATGGTAGAAGGAAATTCCCCTTATTTGCTATGGTCAACCTCCCAAGAGATGCTTAGATTTCTGGTTCCCATTTGCTAATGGGGGGAGAGACAGGGGAAGGGGGACAGAGGAAATGGGATGTTTGACTCTAGGCCATGCACTAGTAGGTTCACTATTGCTTAGCAGGGAGGGAGGCTGGTTGCTTGGTTTCTCAGCATCCTAAGTTCCAACATGGCGTGGATCTTAGGAAACACTGGTGGTTTCCCGCTGAACACTGTATTATTGTAAAGCAAAGTTCTAATATTGTATCAACAATATCTAGTCATGGAATTGGAGTACAAGTGGTAGATCACTTGCTCAGCACACACAAGGCCCTGTGTTTGGTTCTCAATACCAACAAGAAAATAAATAGTGATGGGATAGGCCTGAACTGCCTATCTCTGCTGTTAGCAATTTGTATATTCAGCTCAAGATCCAAATAAGGTCTATACTCTGCAGCTGGCAACTGTCTCTTAGGATTGGTGCAGATTCTTTTTTAGAGCACAGGCATCAAAAGTAAGATAAAGTATCAACTGCTTAACTGTCAATTTATGTCACTTACACATCTGAAAGCTCCATTTGTAAACTTTGGGTAATCGGTTACCGGGCTCCTTGAGATCAGGATCCTTATCCCCATTCTTTCCACATTTTCCTGGAGACTGTGTCCTTGCAGGAGATTTGGTACTATGGGACTTCAGCCCAGTGGAGACAGATTTGACTGGCTGAGTCTTAGTTACACTTTCACCAGCTGAAAGTTCTTCACTATCACTACTGTTTGCTGAAGGAAAAAAGAAAGGCATTAATTAAAAAGCTAACACTGAATCTGCCACATATTTTAATAGACAATTTAAAATTAAGCATCTGAATTTATAACTATAGTAAAACAATCTGCCTACAAGTGAGAAAATCATACACAAATGCAGAATTACTTTGCTTAAGGAAAAACAAATTCTTACCTGAATAGCCAATAATGTATTTTTCTAAAAGTAATTTTGTAAAAAAAAAATTGGCTGAAATTTTCTATTATATTCAGTAATAACACAAAATATAGCATCTTTTAAACTGACTCCATGTAGAAATTTCTTCATGTTGACACTTTAGGCACTATGCACATAACACTTTCCATTTCTTTTAGCTACAAACTAATAATCATGTGTCACCATATTCACTAAAGAATTCCTTGGGGGAAAAAATGGAATTTCTTTCTGTTGTAGATTATAGAATAATATATACTACTGGTCTCTCCCTTATAAAATTTTATATTATAAAATTATAAAGAATTCATAATTTAATAACCATTACACCTGACTTTGCTAATTAAACTTCAGTACTAAAACAGAAATAATTAATCTTAAGCTTGCCATGAAACTAGGGACAGGATTAGTACTGATACAAATTACCTCTTTCTGGATATAAAGTATTATTTTATTTTTTGGTACTGGGGATTGAACTCACGACCTCACGCTTGCCAGGCAGGTACTTACGCTGCTAAGCTAAATCCCAGGTCTTATGAAGTATTATTTTAAATTCCATCAGAATTAGTTCACTATAATGAATTGTTCTGGCTACCTCATTTTGATTTACCATGGCAGAAGCCCAGTAACTGACATAGGCAAACACAATCAATGGCTATTATCTCTTTATAAATGTTATTTATGGACTCTGAAAATGAGCCCTCTTAGGAAATTTCATTTAAATGGCAAAATCTTAAAGAGAAAACCATTACAGTATAAGAAAAAACTTCTAGAAGCCCAGCAGTTTTACCAAGTAACTGATGACCAATCTGGCATATATTTATTGATTCTTCATTTAAAAAGTCACATTAAAAAAAAAAAAAAAAAAAAAAAACCAAAAACCATTAAAACCAAAACAGGTTCTCAAAGCCTAAAAGGTATTCCAAACAGTAAAAGTACATAGCCAACTCCTCCCACTGTGATGTCCTGGGAACAAAGAAGCTCTAGCACTCTTTTATAGATCTTATGAGAACTCCCTCCCCCAACACTCCCATTGCTGCTCTGGAACCCCTGACAATTCCTAGCTAAGCCACCCAAGGCTCAGCCCCACTCTATCACTGGGCTGCCTCAGACTCTGGGCCCCAAGGGATGCCATATTCACCGCCTGGAAGTCATATGGGCTCAGCAGAACCTCAGGGAGCTGGCCGAATAACCCTTTTCTGCACTGAAGTGCAGCCAAGCCGGCTGCTAGCAAAGGTCAGGCAGTGGAGGTGGCAGGAATCTCCTGGAAGAGCAGCAGGAGGTCAGTGTGGGGCACCTGAAAAAAAATTCTTTACATATTTTCTGCTTCTTAGTTGTCTACAAAAAGAAGAGATCAAATGTGCAGTCCTCAGTATTACATTCTCTGCAGGTGGATGAACTGTCACAGCTTAAAGTCTTTAATTGGAGCACACTAAGCAGGAGTTTGTAGCTTCTCTCAGGTCACACGGTTTGGGGTGCCAAAGACAAATGTCACAGACTGGAATTCATGGAATTATTCCTCTAAGGCTTTTGACTGTATAACTGCAAGCTGATTTTGCCTTGAAGAATAACTAACAATCAAGTTCATTTTAATAATAAAAATAATGCGTAATTCTAATATTTAACAATATGTGACATAGAAAACAAGTAGAAAGCACTCAATACTATAAACAACGTTTACATTATGCTGGTTATTATTTTCAAAAAGATTACCTGAACATTTACCAGATGTCAATACTACAGCTGTACATTCTAAAATTTATCTAGAATCAGAAAAGTTCTGTGTGATTTTTTTACTGAGATTGGTGATCAAATCAAATGTTGGTCTATGCCATATCCTGAATATCCTTTTATTAATAGCAGAAAATGTACACACTATAGTTTTCTTATCTTAAAAATTAGAGAGAGGTTTCACACTTACTGCCTTTTCCCTTCTTTTTGTTATTTACCACTGTTGCTTTATGGCTTCTTTTCTGCTTTTTTGATACGCTTCCACCTCCCTGAGTATCTTTCACTCTTTTCTGACCTGTAGAGGCTAGAACGAAAAAGAAATTAAGTAACACAAAATAAAATCAAACATTGCCCAGGTATTAGTTTCTCATTGTAGAAAAAAATTTAAAAACTTGATGCTCTTTATGAGCTTTATAAATGATCACTAAAATTACTACAAATTTTTAATACACTATTATTGATGAAGCTGAGTTCTTGCATATAATAAAACTTAGGTTTTACTAAGTATGTAGCAGCCTTCTTAGAAAATTCAAATAAATGATGAAAGGAGTTTTCAATACAAATTGGGAATTTATGAGTCTAGTAATTCAAAAACAGTATACACTACACACTAAAAATAACTAAAATTTGTTAGGGTTCAGTAAAACCAAATTAAGATTTAGTTACAAGATGAAATGTTAATGAATATAATTTTCAAGTGCTACAATAGTAATGCGATTAATTTTAGCAATAATCCACATTTTTTGTTTTTATACATGTATTTCAAGAATAATCTGGCTCCTAGGACACTGGTTAGTTAACATATATACTATTTACAAACCCAGCATGGTAATCCTAAGAAACACTCCATCTTCTTGGTGAGAAATTATTTCAAAATATTATATATAAATGTTATATATAGAGCAAGATCTATCTTCACTAACATCCTTGTAGCATTTATCTGTACTATTTATGAGGTCCTTAGTCTCTCTTACAATTCTGTATCTAATTATATAATTTATTTTACTCTCAGACTACAAAATAAATGTTTCCTGCCAGAAACTGAAATCTTCATTTGTTCTAATATCAGATAACATAACACATATATAAATTATAGTATCAGATAATGTAACACATTATATAAATTTATTGGTCTTGTTACCAATGTTGGAATGAATCATCAGTGTACATAACATGGCTATCTAGGTTAAAAATGGGACAGATTATTCACTAAAACGTCCTATTTTTTTTTTAATGGATCATATCTTACTTGTAATTTTTTTCAGTTTTAATACAAGAACTTAAATGAAACACAAAGGAGACACAGAAGCTTCAAAATTGCCAGATTTCAATTTGAAAAACTTCATGTAAGCTACCTTAGAGGCAAAAACTAAATCTATATAGTAGAAACTACATTTTTACTTTATTTAATATAATGTGGATTCTCCAATATTCTTAGTAGAAAAATTAATTAAAATGAGGTCATATAAATAGGTGCACAAGACAGTCTTGTATGAGGGTACACATCTGTATTCCCAGCAATCTGTGAGGCAAAGGTAGGAGGATCACAAATTTGAGCTTAGCCTGGGCAACTCAGCAAGATCCTGTATCAAAACAAAAATATATTTGATCCTAGCCAAAGAAAAAATATAAACAAAAGGGGTGAGGATGTAGCTCAGTGTAAAGACCTTGAATTTAATCCTCAGTATCAAAAAAAGTACATTAAAAAAGGTGCAGTATTTATTTTCTAGTTATAAATTCTAAAAATTTCTGTAGAATAATGCTTTAATTTGATAAAGCAGATGGTCCTTTCTTACCCTAAATCAGAGTACTTCATTCTCTTTTTATTTAGTACTCTTTACAATGGAAGACTGTTTCAAAGCCAAGTGTCAGCCTACAGTGTACTGATTTAAAAGCAACTGAGGAAGTGGTTTATAAGAAAAATGATGACAGTATATGGCCTTGGCACCATCGGAAGGCAATAATACTTTTGGTAAGTTATTATCTGAATTTTCACCTTTAACTTCTTCATGGAAAATGAAAAAAGTATTACTGCAGGCTATTAACATATACCTTATTCCTTCAGTTTGGAAGCTATGTATCTAAGAAAGCATCAAATTCCTTTACAAACTCACACAAGTTAGTCAGGCTTGAAAATCAGTTTGACACGGTTGTCTGAGGAAAGCAGTGCCTGGACAGTTGTGGTTGCTCCAAACCCCTACATACAGTATTTGGTTAAGGGTGGAGGGGTCTGTCAATAAATCAAAATGTTTGTGAGAAACTGCACAATACAATTTCAAAAACAATGTTACAGAAATACACTTAAGCTGCTTATGCCATATAGTCAACCAGTGCATATAATGACTTTCAAACAGGTTGGGCTTTGGGTCTAAGGTGTAATTTCTAAGTATGTGCTCTGGTCCTGCTGAAATGTCATGGACACTTCAGGCACAGGACACTAAAGCTTTCTCAAGCTTTTAAATGCATCTGATATTATTTTTTAAGTTATCTTCCAAATTTTCACTTTTATTGTGTTCATGTAACATTTAGGCTTCACATTACAAGATACACTGTTAAATGACTGAGACCTTAAGAGGCAAATCCAAAAATAAGTCACAGAGACATTTTCTTCCTCACCTTTTTCAGGATGTTCTGGTTCTGGCTGATTGCTACTGCTGGAGCTCACACTGGCATCAAAGCCTGCTGGCGAGCTATTTCCTTCAGACTGGAGGTCTTGGAGCTCTCCTGCAACACTATCCACCTCAATTGTGCTATCAGTTTCACTCTTGATACTACGAACTTCTTCATGGTTTGGAGCCAGGGGCTCTGACACTGTGACAGAAGACTGCTGCTGACTAGCTTCCGTTACAGTGACTGATGAAGGCGACTCAGGTGTGGTAGGAGGTGTATTTAGCACTGAATTACTGCCACTACTTGGAAATTCTGCCTTTCTCTCACTGACCTCAGTTTTTTCTTCCATGGGCTTATTATCAACACTAACTGGTGTTGGTTTTTCTAGCTCAACACTGGGGCAACAGCTCTCCTCTTCAGTTACAGTTCGCAGTGACTCCTCTGCCACTCCCTCCTCAGGGGTAGGATGGGGTGGGGAAGCTGCAGCCTCAGTATCAGAATCTGAAAAAAGCTCCTTCAGGGTTTTCTTAGGCCACTGTCCCTGAATACTTGACCAGACATCTTTTCGATCTTTAGCCCTGCTGTTCTGAAGTCTTTCATCAGAATTATTTAAAAGTTTTATCCTTTTTTCAGCCACTTCTGAAAATCCTGAATAGAAACCAGTTGTCCGCAGTGATTTTCTCTTCTCCTCCAAACCATTGTATTTCTTGGTTGGTGTCATCTTTGCTTTTGATTTTTCTTCTTCATCTTCATCTGAAGAGCTATTGCTACTATTTTCCATGCAAAGTGATTCTTTGTTTTTAGCTCTCTCTTCCTTTTTGCCAGGTGACCCAGTTTTTAAACACTCTTCTGTATTGCAATACCTCCTTTTACCACGTTTTATTTGTGACTTTGAAGATTTATCTGTTGTGTCCTTCTTGACATCTTTTCTCTTTTTTGTGACATCATCTTCATCTTCATAATCACTATCTTCTGATATTCCTTCCATATCTTTTCTTAAACTTTCTGGAGATTTTGACATTGGTTTGGATATTACCAAATCTGTGTGAACTTTGTTTTCTTCCAGCAAAGATGAACTGTTCTGTTCTTCCTTTGAAATAGGTTCATTTCTGGTATGGGTCAAATGATCTAATATTTTAGATTCCTCTTTACTCTTATTATCAATGGTCTGACCACCTCTCTCATCTTCTTGCTCACTATCTTCAGCAGAACTTTCAGAAGCTACAAAAGAGGGAAGAAAAATGTAAACTTTGCTATGTTACCAGTACCTTATGTATTATCTCCTAAATTAGAAGTCACCCCAGGGACACTGGGTATAGTGGCACATGCCTGAAATCACAGCACATGGGAGGCTGAGGCAGGAGGACTGCTGTGAGTTCAAGGTCAGCCTGAACTGCATAATGAAACCCTGTCTCAAACCCCCTCCAAATAAAAGCCACCCCATGGTGCTAGCTTTTATGCCACTTTACTGATGGAAGAAAGTTGTTTCAAAGAGATTAAGATATTCCAATGCAGAAAAGTTCTATTACCATGTCACTGTGGTAGTTAAATCACTGTTAAATGGTAGTTAAATAGTTAATAGTTAAATCTTTTGCCAAAACTCAATTTCACTTTAATATATAAATTATTCCTCAATAAAACAGCTTGTATAAGAAAAAAATTTCTCCAAATTTACATGACCAGAGTATGACACAAAAGCATGTAGGAAGCTAAGAGTTCTTGAAAGTTAAACTGGTCCAATTTTAAACATTAACAAGTTAAGCATTACAGCAGTCAACCATTATAACTGTCAAATAGTCATAAAGGGACCAGCAGTAGAGGAACTTTCTTAAAAAATTACAGTAAAAATTAAAAACCTTTTTAAAAGAAAAGCTGGAGTATCCTGAAAAATGGTACAATATTAAAATACTAAATGATAAAGAATCAGTAAAATATAGAGAAGAAAACAAAATCAATCTAAAAGACTTCCTCAAACACAAACACAAGATTCTATTAAATATATACTGCACAGAAGGAAAACACTACACAAAAGGCATATCTTTTTGTGAAATTTTAGGAAATTAAAAACAAAGAATTGAGATTCAGTGGGGTGGGGGATCCAAAATCAATGAAAACAAGTCACTTAGGAATTTAAAGAGCTCTATAGACTTCACAGAAGCAAGACTAGTAGCCAAAAACAATTAACGATAATAAAATCTAACTCAATTGTTACAGTACAAATATCCCCTCTAAAATTCATACAAAAATTTAATTGCCACTGTGACAGTATGGGGAGTTAGTTGATCCTTTAAGACATGATTAGGTCATGCAGACTCTACTCCACGCTTAGAATAGATCAATGTCATTAACACAGGCCTAGTTTAGTTACTTCATAAATTTCTGTTATAAAAGTGTCTTTCTCATATTCTCGCAAATGCTTACTCTCCCCATGATGCCCTTGCCATGTTAGAACACAACAATAAGAATCTCACCAGATCCAGAACTTTGGGTAAGAGTATGGCATTCTGTTAAACCAGCAGATAACACTGAGCTTTAAACAGAATAAACTGAAGAATAAATAACATTATTTACAGTGTCTAAAAATTTACCTTCCTTCTCCTATACCTAGGTGACACTACTCCACCAAAATGACACTGAGGTAGTATTAAGACCAAGACATCAAAAACAAAGTAATTTGAAGAATACTGAAGAGAGAGCCCTAGAATAGATCTATCCACTGACCCATTCTATCAATCCATCTATACCTCTCCTCTTTCCTCTCTCTACCCATAGCATGAATCTATCTTCCTAAGAAGAGAACTAAGTATTAGATGCAAAGAAAACCAGTTCAGACTAGCACAGTGCTATTTCCAAAGTCAGTCAGACAGGCGTATCTGATTAAGCTGACTGCTGTCACTATACAATTTTGAAGCAGGTTAATGCCCTGTTTTTTAAATTCTTTAATTTGTTTTGTCCATGTGCTAATTATATTCCAACTCTTCCTTCCATGTCTTATGTTATCTCTACCTGGATCAACCGACTTGATTGCATTCAGCAGAAAATTTTGATCTACTTCTGAAAGCTAGAAGTAAATATCTAATCTTCATACAAGAAAATGCAGCAGAAACTGCTATTCCCACAGTACACTTTCAATGGTCATCCACTGTAACTATGTCAGATTTGCCAACTATAATACGCCTCTGTTTCCCAGAACTCACATATAATCTTATCCCACTGAATTCCACAGAGATGCTTTTGTAAACTCTCACAGAAACTAAATCTAAATCAGAATACAACCTAGGGATTCTATTTAGAGAGCACTATTAGGGAGCCTTCATCTAAGCTTTCTTTCAAATATCTTGGTGCTTGGTTTAAAAAAAAAAAAAGATTAAGAATGTCATCTTTAGGAATACACATATCTGTAACAGAATTACTCAAAAAAAGAAAAACTATAAAGCCAGGCATAGTGATGCATACCTATAATCCCAATGCAGGCTCAGGCAGGAAGACTGTGAGTTAGAACTAGCCTGGACATCTTAGTGAGACTGTGTCTTAAAATAAAAAAAAAAAAAGATCTGGGAATGTAGTTCAGTGCAGAGGTCACTGGTTAAATCCCAGCTCCAAATATTTTTATGTAAATCCTATTTTGCTCAAAACTGTGGATACCTACTATATATTGTTTTTCTTTAAGCCTACACTATGCTATATGAAAGATACACTATGCTATATGAAAGATACACTAGTAGACAAAATCTAATTTAGAATGCTGTGTAGCTATAGTGTATGAAGGTATACTCAAATATTTCAAGGGAAGAGACACTATGGTAACTACTGTTATGTCAGGTTGTCTTGTGATGAAACACTATGTTGCTTAAATTGTTCTGTTCTGATCTGTTGTTATGTCCTCTTTTATCTTTTAAAATTAAAAAAAAGAATGCTGTGTAGCATGTAGTTTATAAAATGAATTCATATAAATACCCATGTAAAACAAGGCACGAAAACCAATTGTCACTACATTCAAAATAAAACCCAAAAGCCAAGTCGTGAGCAATATAAAATTTAAGGAGATAAATTCTTTTATTTAATTTACAGATCAGATACTTCTCCTTTCCTGTCTCTTACTATTCCTCACTACTTCTATTATTTGATACATATTCCATTCTACTTTATACACAGTATTAAGTCATATGCTATCTTAAAGATAATAGATGTACTCAAGCAAAGGTTAGTGTACTTTACAAAAGACTGCTAATATAGATTTATAATCTGACACTGTATAACAAACTATACTTTCCATGGCAACAGAAAAGGTAGTGCCTAAAAAGGCAGGGTAACAGTGCTCTAAGTTGAATGTTACACTGTTAACTAAACTTCTAACAATTT